GAAGAGGTAAGGGTGCAGGGTTGGTCGGGGGAAAAATGTCACAGGCGTATCGTCCGCCCACCCGCTCCAGCTCTTCTGGGCCCAGGAACAGCCCAAATGGCACCCCGTTGAATCTGTCCGCATGGTGCAGCTGCGGGGGAGGGGAACAAGAAAGGGGTAAGATCAGAGCAAGGGGTTGGCATGGGGAGTCATGTCACTGACACTTGTCCGCCCACCCACTCCAGCTCGCCCAGTCAGAACAGCCCAAACGGCACCCTGTTGAATTTGTCCACGTGGTGCAGCTGGTGTGACAGGGGAGAGGAAGGGAAGAAAGAGAGGGTAATATCAGGGGACAGCCCAACCCTCTCCCAGGAACAGCCCAAGCAGCACTTGATGGAGCTCGTCTGCGTGACGCAACTATGAGGGCACGGAGGGGGGGCTGAGTGAGAAGAGAAAAGGGTGCGATGAGAGAGAGGGTTAGGCAGGGGGGGACTTTGTCACGGGAACTCTCCCGGCCGCTCTCTCCAGCTCGTTTGGGCCCAGGAACAGCCCAAACGGTGTGGAGAGGGAGGAATGCAGCCGGTGAGGAAAGGGAGGGAGAGGAAAGTATGCAAGGAGGGGGGACCATCCTAGGTTAAAGAAAGAGTTTTTGAGACGTCTCAAAAACACACCCTCGCTACACGGGGAGAGGAAAGTGTGCAAGGAGGGGGGACCATACTAGGGTAAAGAAAGAGCAAGCAAACCAGCAAGCCTACCAAGGATTGGAGAGACAGAGAGGAGCATGGGTGGGGAGGAGGCACCAATGAGGCATACCTGGTGGGCGGCAGCGACTCGCTTCAAGTACGGGACGTCAGCAATGGGGCCCACTGGGAATCTCCGGTGCACCAGCCCGTCATGCACGAACATGTAGGCCATTCCAAACACGGTGATGCCCAGGCCCTGTGGAAGGAAGGGGGAAGCGGCAGGGGCAAGGGTAACGGCACAAGAGGGACATGTTGAAGCACAAGTCACGTCGTGCACGAACATGTAGGCCATGCCGAACACCGTGATGCCCAGGCTCTGAGGGGGGAAGGCAGAAAGGGAAGCGGCAGAGGAAAGGGAATGGCACAAGGAGGGCATGCTGAAGCACAAGTCCGTCGTGCACGAACATGTAGGCCAATTTAAAGACGGTGATGCCCAGGCCCTGTGGGGGAGAATGAGTAGAGGGAGGGGAAGCGGAAAACGGGAATGGCATGAGCAGAGCGTGTGGGACGGCGGAGTACACGGGAGGCAGAGGAGCGTGAAGGGAGACGAATGTGGAAGGCAGACGCCGACGTAAGGTAAAAGGAGGTGAAACGTGAAGCGTGGCTTTGGGAATCACTTTTGAGAATTCTCAAAAGATGGAACGTGGAGCGTGGCTTCGAACGGCGCCACACCGGAGGCGGGAAAGAGTCCTGGGCGGATTAGCCGTAGGAGAGCCAGCGAGGGTGGAGCAGGGTACACGAGAGAAGGAAACAGGCGCGCCTCGGAAAGATAAGAGTTAAAAAGTTGTGGCGACGTACGGCGCCGAAGCCGGGGACGAACTCGGGTTTGAAGAAGCCGTAAGCATGGCGAGAGGAGCGCGAGGGGCAAGCAAGCAGAAGGGAAAAAGACACTTTTCACGCGCCTAGGAAATAAGAGTTTAGAAGTGTGGCAACGTACGGCACCGAAGCAGAGGCCGAGGACGAGCCCGGGGTTGAAGAAGCCGTAGGCAATGAGCGCGAGGAGAGCGAGGGGCAAGTAGGTAGGAGGAGGGAAGGAGGAGAGAAGGCAACTATGCGCCGAAAAAGAGTGTGTGGAGACATACGGCGCCAAAGCAGAGGCCGGGGACGAGCCCTGGGTTGAAGAAGCCGTAGGCGATGAGCGCGATGGCGGGCACGGCGTTGATGATCGCGAACACGTCGTTCAGCTCGAATGCGCCCTCGCGCGGCTCGTGGTGCGACTGGCGGGAAGGAAGGAAGGGGGCGAAAAGAAGTTGGGTGAGGTGGAAATGCTGATCATGCACGTTGTTGAATGGGCGCGGCGTCAGACAGGCACGGAAGGGAAAGAAATGTCAAGAGCGGCGATCTGAATATGATGGCACGCGATACGGACCAACTGTTCAGACGGGCGAATGATGACAGCCCGAATTTCATACAACGCGTTCTACTTGTTGTTCGATTGAGTACCAATGCCACACCATGTATAACTAGTCATACTCCCTTGTACATAGTTACCCATGGAGCTTGGGTTACCTTGTGCATGCTCCACAGCGAACCGTGCCACAGCGCGTCGTGAGCCCATCGTGCCCAGAACTCCATTCCCACTGCCGCGCCAATCACGAGGGCCACCGTGCCCAACACCTCCTCCATGGGGACCGGCTCGCCCTGCACGCACGCAGTGAAGCCGCATTTTAACCCTTAATAACAAAAAGAATCTTCTTTAGCAAAAAAGTGTTAGTAGTGGAGCCCATTGGGCTTCATTGGTTTCTCACATTCATTTACGTGATTAAAAGGCCGGTTATCAAATTGTTAGGTACTTTCGACCTGACACGTGTTGTGCTACAGCACGGCTTACCTGCGTCTGGAAGACGAAGCGGTACCAGACGGCGCCGACAGCGAGGAATGTGACCCCCACACTCGACGCAATCGCGGCTAGCTGGTACGTGGACCGCTCGCTTTGCCGCCGCCTCTTCCGCTCCAGCGCCGTTTCTGAAAGACCCGCCGACGCGGCCGCTGGAAGGCTCTCCGCAACTGCCGCTGCGATCTTTATTTTCTCGTCTTCGAGGGGAACCGGCTCGTCCAATGTAGAGTCTTTGGCGGTCGGCGATCTGGTTTTAGGCATTTCAGCCACAGCGTATGTGACAAGGCGCCTAGATCGCTGCACGAGGGAGACTTCTCGTACGGCATGCACGCGGCATTCTGCGCCCAGCGAAAAAGACTTCGAAGGGACGGAGGCTCTTAGCGAGCAGCCAGCAACAGCTACGCAACTCATGGTGACACAAGTATCGGAGAAGATAAGAGCTTGGAGTGGGGAACGGTATCTGGCGATGCGTTACTGGCGAGGCTTTTTACGAAGTGAGGTGCGTCTCACTAATATGATCAGAAAGTTGGGCTTGAGGTAGTCGTTCCCTGATATCTGCTCGCGAAATCCTCCCAGAAGCTGACTCCCTGCTTGATGGTCAGCAAAGAATTCAGGCAGCAAGCAACGATGTTCCCGAGGAGAAGCAAGCAACGAATGGAGGGGCAAACACTGCACTGCAAAGAAGGCCAGCGAAGAAAGGGGAATCATAATGCAGGCGAGTGAGAGGGCGAGAATGTGATTACGGGTGATTTCTGGGATCACGGACTCGTGTGAGCGACGCCCCCTCAAAGTGCTCTCGTTAGGCCAAATCCCAAAAGTAAGGCCACGTCGTCATTTGGCCACGCGGTAGAAATTCCTTTAGAGAGTTCCGGCCAATGAACAACATCCTTCTGTCGATGTGGCAAGGTTCCTTTGGCTTTCTGGTGTGGCCGGAGGAGCTATTTTTGGGACCACCTGTCACACGCTTTTCATCATTACGAAGTCATTCTCACATGTGTGGTGGAACACTCCCGCCACATCGGACCAGCGCATCTCATCCGTTCAATCTCTACAGTGTCGGTGAGGAGCACCTCCGAAAACGGGGGAGCTTCTTGGGACTTTGCGGTGCACATCAATTGGAACTATCCATCCAAGAAACATGGTCAGGAGGTAGGTACCCTTGGCACCAGACCAGCGTATCCGTGTGTGGTGGAGAACTCGAACACTGTAACGAAGCTCTATGTAAAGAGGATCTATTTCGTTTTGTATTGTAAAGGGGTGATCAAAGTGCTGCACCAGCTCGACGTCGAGGAACGTCGGTGAATTTCAACCCTCGGATCAAAAGTTCTAACCGTCAGGATTCACCGAAATCCCTCGACGTCGAGCTGGTGCCTCACTTTGATCACCCCTTAAAGCTCACCACGGAAGAAGCCACATATTTCCGACGTCGCAGCAGGGGGGAAACTGGCGCGAGCCATTCTGTCAGAGCACACCTCGTCAGCGAATGGGCAGATGAGAAGGTGGTGCCGTGCCAAGGCGCGACGCGCAAGAAAGTCAAATTTCACCGTCGATCTTATAGCGCTGTTGGCGGTAAATATCGACGGTGAACAAATGCCAGCGATGTGCAGATGCTGCAGCAGGCGATGCGTCAACGCGTCAGCGAAGAGGCACCAGCACGGGAAATGCCTGCCAGACTCATCACATGAGTTATGCCCATGAGCAATGAGCAGCACCATCAAGCTGGCAGCACTGGAAGTGGAAGAAACATGATCCCCTGGATCCTAATTCATATTTGATGCTTCCTCTATCACTGGACATCGATTATCTCCATTGCGGGTTTCAGGTGGTAGGATCAGCATTAGTGGAATAGGTTTCAGATAGAGGAAACAGCGCTAGTTGAAGACGCAGCACGGACGCGTGGTACATTCACGTGCTTCATCGGTAAACGTTTATTCCCCTCGCGAGAAGCTGCATCCGATTCGTGCGAGTTTAGACTCTCGTGTGGCTTCGTATTAGATCCTTCACATCAGCGCTTCAGCGGATACTTCTTTTCATTCTTTCCTGGTATTATGGCGCATTGCGTCAAAAGTCCCGCCAAATTTCAAGACTCGAATCCAGCAGACCAGAGACGGCACGTGACTTCATACGGTTTATGTACACCGTCAGCTTCGGAATCGTCGATTAATCTACAAACACCTACCGTTGGGCCCAAGACAACAAACTCCGACGATGCCGTGTCTCCTCCTCTCGTCTTTCCTCTGCTCGACAGCCAATCCTCCAATCAGGTTACTCCCGAACTCCGGCCGAGCCAACCCCGGACCGGCACCGGACGCAAGATCGACGTGGAAAATCTCCCTAACCTAGCCGCCTCTCCAATTCCTAAGGCACGACTCTTTGACTTGCCTGAGAGTAACACTGGTCGCAAGTTCCGGCTATCGAAGTCCATAGGAGAGATCTCGATAATGCCTCCTGTCGTGATGTCCGAAGGACCCTGTAACGCGAGAGCGAGAAGCTTTAAAGCGAGGACAGGTGAAAGCGAACTCCTTGATGGGCTAAAGCAACGATGGAGAGGTCTCGGTGCGGACTGTAGCGAGTTACAAAACGACGGCTTTCAATGTGCTGGTTACCACATCGCGAAGCACGACGAGGAAAACGCGATCGCACGCGCGGGAAGCACGGACCGGAGTGCTGCGTTAAGGCGAACTTGCAGCGAAGCTGCAGCCGAGCTTCACGCCGCACTACCCGGCGACGGTACCTCCGACATCCTCCCTCGCGAGGCTCGTAATCCGGTTATTGATCCGTCTCCGTCTGCTCCATTCGCGGGTGAAGTCCCTCCGGCGATCAAGCCGTGGAGAACTTTTGAGACGTCTCAAAAGTCGTCTGCTCCTACCGCGGGTGAAGGGCCTCCGGCGTTCAAGCCATGGAGAACGAGCCGGCATCCAAACCAGAAGCGGCCGACTCAGCACGGCGGTGTGGATCAGCGGCCGCCGCTGGCGCAGCAGCCGTGTCGGCCGAAGCACTACCAGCCTGATGAGCGTCGTCTGTACGAACGGCAGCCTTTAGACAGTCACCAGCAGCAGCACCAGCAGCAGCAGGAGGATTTGCGGCTGAAAGGCTTGGCAGGACCCCGGTGTCTCTACAGGAGCGAAAGCGCGCTTCCCGCGCTTTCTCTCGAGCAGCTTGACGGTGACAGCGCTGACAGACCGTCGGATCATGCTGACGAGGCAGGCGGCCTTGGTGGCCGTCAGAGATTGGAGGAGAGCGTCGGTCGCACAGTGTCGCTCGAGCAATCCGCCCTCGAGGCGCTTTCCGCGCCGTTCAAAGTTCCGCACACCCCTCCGCGCGGTCAGAAAACGCGTCGCTTTCCTACCAGCCGAAGCGAGAGCTACACTCACAGCAGCAGCAGCGGCGGCCTCGGCAGCCATAGCAGCATCAGCGGAAACAGCAGCGGCATCAGCAGCAGCAGCAGCAGCAGCACTGCAGGTCACGGAGTCAGCACACCGACAGTCAGTCGCAGCAAATCAAGCTGCACACCGGCACGCGGCATCGGCGCCAGGCCTTCTCCCGTCCCCCCGATCGTCATCAGCCCGGCTGTGCGCGCCTCTGCGGATTCTTCCGCCCACCCCCGCGTCTCTTCCCCCAGCCTCCGCCCGCTCGTTTTCTCCCCCCCAGTTTCCTCCACCGCGCGCGGAACCTCCCCGTTCGGACCAGCGCTGGTGCGGGAAACGGTCTCTACAGTAGAGCTGAGCGCGCGGGGGGACGCGGGGAGCTACCCAGGGGGCGCAGTGGGGAAAGCGGGGGACGGCGCGGAGGCGGGGGAGCGGGAGTTCACGCGGCACGTGTTGGGGCGGCCATACGCGGAGCTTGAGGCGCGGTATGAGGTGGCGGAGGGGGAGCTGGGGCGCGGCAAGGTGGGCGTGCTGCGCGCGTGCAGGTGCCGCGCGACTGGGCGGCAGTTCGCGTGCAAGACCATCAGCAAGGCCGCCATGATTGTGAGTGGCATTTGATTCTGATATTGTTTTACATGCCATCGCTTGTGATAGTGCACTGAAAGTGCATATCCATTTGCTCGGTGCGGTGCATGGCCCAAAGTTTCCACTTCTCCCAAGGCTGTTGTGTAACCAATCAAGTATCTTGCGCCCCCGAACCCACTTCCCTGCGCCGAGCGCTCATTTGCGTCCGCGCTGCGCGCCCTGCCCCCCTGTCGTTTCCCCGTCCCCCCTCGCTGCGCCAATCCCCCCGCGCAGTGCGAGGAGGAGTGCGAGGAGGTGCGGCGGGAGGTGCAGATGATGCAGCGCGCGCGCGGGCACCCGCGCATAGTCGCCCTGCACGAGGCGCTCGAAGACGTGCGCGCCGTCCACATCATCATGGAGCTCTGCCACGGTGGCGAGCTCTTCCACCGCATCGTGACACGTCAGCGGTACAGCGAGCCCGCGGCCGCCAGCGTGGCGCGCCAGCTGGCGTCGGCGCTGGCGTTCCTGCACGCGCGGGGCGTGGCGCACCGGGATGTGAAGCCGGAGAACATTCTGCTGTGCTCGCGCGCGGACGACACGAGCATCAAGCTCACCGACTTTGGAGCCGCCACTCTGCTGCTTCCCGGTAGGTGTTCCCTAGCACCCATTCCCCCCCATCCATTCCCCCTCGTCCATTCACCTCCGCCCATTTCCCCTCCATTCACCATGATGTGAAGCTGGAAAACATTTTGCTGTGCTCGCGCGCGGACTTTGGGGCCGCCGCGCTGCTGCTGCTGCCAGGTAGGTGTTTTCCCCCACCAAGTTCTCTCCACCCATTCCCGTCACCCCATTTCCCCCACCTTATTCGCCTCCGCCCAGTCCCCATTCCGCCTTCCCGCCCACCTCTCCCCTCCGCCCACTACCTTCCGCCCATTCCCCTCTTCAAATCCACTCCACCATCCCTCTCCAACCAACCCCTTTCCCCCATCCCACTCCAGTCCAACCCCCTCCATCTATCCCCCACTCCCCATTCCCCTTGATGTCCACCCCTCTCTACACTTGCATAATGATACATCAAGTGAATCGCCCTATTGCTCAGCCCCTGAGGTGACTTTTGAGTCGACTCAAATGTCCACCCCGCGCTACACTTGCACAATGCATATAGCATGTGGGCTCGCCCTATTGCTCGGTCCCTGAGGTGCTGACTGAGCAGTACGGGTTGCAGGCCCCCAACCATCCTTCTGCGCACCCCTCCCTACAGGTACTCAGTGCACAGAGTGAGTAGGCTCGCCCTATTATTTCACCCCAGAGGTGCTGACAGAGCAGTACGGGTTGCAGGCGGATGTGTGGAGCCTCAAACCACCTTCTCTTCTTCTCTCATTCACCCTCCGCCTGCTCCCTTCCAGGCACACAGTGCACGGAGCGGGTAGGCTCGCCCTACTACTTAGCCCCCGAGGTGCTGTCAGAGCAGTATGGGCTGCAGGCGGACGTGTGGAGTGCAGGGGTTGTGCTCTTTGTGCTGCTCTCTGGCTCGCCGCCCTTCTCTGGTCGCTCCAACGATGAGATCTTCCAGGCCGTCCGATCCAAGGAGATCGACCTCACACGCAAGCCCTGGCCGTCGATCTCGGAGGGAGCGAAGGATCTCGTTCGTCGGATGCTCACGAGGGACCCTGAGGCGAGGATCACCATGGAAGAAGTGTTAGGTGAGTGGGTGCGCTGCTTGGGGTGGGGCTGGTGTAGTGAGGGTGTTTTTGAGACGTCTCAAAAACACCCTCACTACACCTGGAGGAACCAAAGATTTGAGGGAATATGGCCATTGACTTTTGAGTCGACTCAAAAGTCACCTTTGAGGGAATATGGCCATGTATGGGTGGCATTATCGAGCTGCATCTGCAGTGTGGCGAAACTGATGGAGCAGCCAGATGCGAATGCATCTGCACAAGTGGCAGCACAAACGTGAGTGGTGACTCTGAATGTGAGGCGAGGATCACCATGGAAGAAGTGCTCGGTGAGTGGCTGGGCTGCTCGGGGTGGGGCTGTGAGTGGTTGCACAAGCGTGGGTGGTGAGTGTGAATCTGAGATGAGGATCGCTATGGAAGAAGTTCTCTGTGAGTGGGAGGGCTGCATCGGTTGGGGCTGGTGGGGCCAAAGCTTAGAGGGAACAGGGCCGTGCATGGGCTGCATATCGAGCTGCATGTGCAGTAAGGCAAATCTGATACGCAGCCCCTCTTTGGGTGTTCAAATGGGTAGTCTCCTCTTCACCCCAACCTGTTGACGTTCATTTCAATGACCTGCCATTCTTTCTAATTCTGGTAACTCCAATTTCGTGCAGATCACCCGTGGATTCGTGCTCATGCCGAGAGCGGAAGTACATAACTTGGTGGCATTCGTGGTGGGGAAGTATAGCACAATTGGCTTTCGCTGTTGCAGTATACAATCTGTAGAACCTGAAAGTGGTAGGCTACGCGGGTAGTGGTGAAGGGATGCTGTTATAGGATAGTGGTGTAGCACGCGGAGGTTACATTATGTTAGATGACTGGATGTTGAGAAGTGAGTGGTAGCTGCCTGGCTGGATGTTGAGAAGTGAGTGGTGACTGGATGACTGGATGTTGAGAAGAGGTAGCTGCCTGGCTCGCCGGGTGTGTGTTACAATAGGTTCGGAGAGTACTATGTCTTGCAACTAGATTAGCCCTGCAGGTGAGCGCTAGCTTAGCTGACATAAGATACAAGGTATTCAAAATTTATAGGTCTTCTTAGCGATTTTATTAAAATGCATAACTATCGCAAAATGGCTCACCGCAGCGGTGCATTGTTACAGTCATCACCCTTAACAAATCACAGTTCTATCACCTCCACAAGTAATGTGTTCCATTGTACACCTATTGAGCAGCACAAGTAATTAGCAGTGCATAATATGGCGCATTACGTCTATTGGTCATTCAACAGTAAGCACGTTGTTCTCAAGCATGCCGTGTCCCACGGTGGGCCACTCTGTTGCCACTCTCCATTCGCCATCCACCAGGAACTTGATCTCGTATCTGCTCTCATGCAGGTATGCAGATGCAGATGCAGATGCACAGTTGGATGCAAGCAAAAAAAGATGGGAGATAAGGGTTTAGGATAGCATCATGCCGGGGCTTACCGTAGGCCTCTCTGTCGCCTCTCTCCACTCACTGTCCACAAGAAACTCGATACCATACAGGAACAGGTCGGTGGTGTGCGGTGGAGAACAGTGTGTGCGGCCTTACCTGCCCGGGCGCGGCTTGAGCACGGTGGAGAAGTGGGTCACGGTGCCGGTGGTCTCGGGGGACATCTGATCATGTGAGCCACCTTTAGTACAGCCCCCATGCATTCCCTGAGCCGCAGCTTCCGAACGGTGGTGAGCTGTGGTGAATGGTCATACCTGCCCGGGCGCAGCTTGAGCACGGTGGTGAAGCGGGTCATGGTGCCGGTGGTCTCGGGGGACATCTGCTCTGATGAGCTGCCTTCGGAACAGGCTGTCCATACCTACCCCGAACCGCAGCCAGAGAACAGTGCAGTGCGGTGGTGAGCGGTGGCTAGGAGTGAGCTGTCCTTACCTGCCCGGGCGCAGCTTGAGCACGGTGGAGAAGCGGGTCATGGTGCCGGTGGTCTCGGGGGACATCTGCTCGCCGTACGTCCAGCCGTCAAACGACCCCATCACCTTCACGTCCTCCGCCATGCCAAACCATACCAAGGGGACTTCTCGCAGGCGCAGCTTTTCGATTCCCTCCAGCTGCTGTCTCAGATCGGAATAGAGCTCTGGAAACGGGGAAAGGAGGGGAGGGGGAGCGGAAGGACAGAGGAGAGGGGGGGCGGATGTGGCTGAAAGGTGGAACCACGCCAAAGGCACCTTCTCTCTCAGCAGCCGTATGTCCAGCCGTCAAACGACCCCATCACTTCGACGTCCTCCGCCATGCCAAACCACACCAGAGGGACCTCGCGGAGGCGCAGCTTCTCGATTCCCTCCAGCTGCTGCCTCAGATCGGAATAGAGCTCTGAAGAGGGAGGGAGGGAGCGGAGATGGGTAGGGGTTGTTGGCCTAAAGGATGGTTGGGAAGTGAAGAGGTTTGTTGAAGTGGAGGGAGCAGTTTGCATGTGAGACAGGTGGCGGGGCGAGTAGCTGAGGACTTACCAACGCAAACTGTGGCAGCCGCAGCGCAGTGTGATGAGATGCATGGAGACAGCAAGATGCTGCAACCTAACAGAAAGTAGTGCACCTAAATCTGAGTCGCTTTTGAGAATTCTCAAAATGCACCTAACTCCCCGGACACTCTAACAAGTCGGGATTAAAAGAAAGAAGCACTACTTCTAAACTCTAACTCTTATCGCCAATGTCGTACCTTCCAGTCTGTTGCTGAGGTGGGACGGCAAGTATCGGCCGTTGATCTTCCTCGTGACTGGCAAGCCCTCGGTCTTCACGATCTCATCCGCCACCTCACTCAGCTCCTGAGGCAATGAGAGCGTCACACGTGGCAAGGAAACAAGTGGAGGCACGTAGGATAGGAAAATAAGCGTGGCTGGCAGCTCACATGCACTGTGCAGGCATGCATGCATGTATGGCAATAACCAGACGGGATGGGACATACCAGTCTACATAGGGCCTACTGCCTCAGACATATTATTCCCGTCTCAGCCATTCATCCCATCTCAGCCGTTCATCCCAACTCAGCCGTTCATCATCCCATCTCGGAGACTCATACCATCCCAAGCATTCTCATCTCGGCCATTCATCCCATCCTGCATTCACGTCCGTTCGTTCCTTTCATCTCAGCCAGCCAGCACAACTCGCACCTCTACTGTTCATCCTATCCCATCTCAGCCATTCTTACCATCCCATCTCAACCCCCAGCCAGCCCATTCCATCTCAGCCGTTCATCCCATCTCAGCCGTTCATCCCATCTCAGCCGTTCATCCCATCTCAGCCGTTCATCCCATCTCAGCCGTTCATCCCATCTCAGCCGTTCATCCCATCTCAGCCGTTCATCCCATCTCAGCCGTTCATCCCATCTCAGCCGTTCATCCCATCTCAGCCGTTCATCCCATCTCAGCCGTTCATTCCATCTCAGCCGTTCATCCCATCTCAGCCGTTCATCCCATCTCAGCCGTTCATTCCATCTCAGCCGTTCATTCCATCTCAGCCGTTCATCCCATCTCACCCGCATTTCCGCTGCCAGCGCAATCAAAAGCGCTTTTGAGTCGCTCAGCGCCTGCTCGCGGTATTGCACCTGGCGTGGGGGGAGGGGGGAAGGCCGGGGGAAGCGGGGGCAGGAGGGGGAAGCGGAGGAGGAGAATGAGGCGCAGACGGGCGCAATCTGAGCCTCCCGTGCGCACCTGAGTCGCTCAGCGCCTGCTCGCGGTATTGTACCTGGCGTGGGGGGAGGGAAGGGGGGGGAAGTGTGTGAGGGACTATGTAATATATACATCAATGTTTGGGTTGCAACCAGTGGTCGCGGACACGAGACGTTACACACACAGCCGACGCGACGCGATGCCCTAAATTCAACCAAGGACCGCCTATCCGCAGCCTGGTAGTTAGGGAGAGCCTGGGAAGGCTAACCTAGTTCTCGACTATCCGGACACGTCCAATTCGTAGCGTCTATGGTTCAAAAAAATCGAAATCGAACCTGGAGTTATACACGTCTCACTTTCGATCTTTTGCCCACCTCAGCCAAAAACGAGTTCCGAAATAACCTTCGGTTGCTTATAACGAGGGCAACGACGCCTTGCTCGTTTCTTTGTCGGGCGTGGTCGTCTATAGTCTCACTCGCACCGCTTACCGGCGCAGTTAGCCGTGTTGGGAGCGCTCAGCTTCGTATTCCTACCGCTCTTTCTTCGCCGCCAGCTCACCTCTCACAGTCAAACATACATACCCTCACCCCCACCTCCCCATCCGCTCCCCACCGCTTTCCACCGCGCCGTACCTCGCGCTGCAGGAAACGATTGTACGTGTTGGACTCGCTGAGCTTCTTGTTGAGCCGCGACCGCATGGCGATGACCTGGCGCGTCGCAGCAGGGAAGATAGAATACAAATGAAAAAAAAAAAGGTGAAAACTTCTGAAACGCTTCGAAAAAAGGATGCGAAGTCGAGTGAATGAGAGAAGCGGGAATGTGTCACGAAAGGATAAAACACACGGCTTTACTATTCCTCACGAAAGGAGTCGAGAACATTTTGAAGAAATGCGTTAACTGTGGCATACGTGGTAAGCAAAGAGAAAATTCCATGCCCAAAGCGTTCTCACCTCCGTACGGGGTACCACTGCTCTATCGACAGGTGTCGCCACGGACGGGGAGGAGAGCGCCTTGGGTATCAACCCCTCGAGGTCGCTCTCCGCATCTTGCGCTGGCTGCGGCTTTGCCGGTGCCAGCCACGGCATCTGCCGCGCGACTGACGCCGGAAGACCCGGAATGCTTGGCTCATCGGGAGCCGCAACGGCGGGTCTATTCGAAAGGTCGTTCTCAGGATTGTTAGCGAAGTCGCTGTAGCGAGGGGGCTTGACGGAGGGCCGCGCGGTGTCCGCGCGGGGAGGTCTGGTGGTTTCGTTGGCGAGCTTCTTCACGAGATTCGAGAGGTCCTGCAGCTCGCCTGGTAACTTCGCGAACTCGCTGGACGAATACTGCGACTTTCGCGAACCTTCGGAAATCGCCGAAACGACGCCGCGACGGGAGAATTGCGGCAGCTTCGTTGAGGGGAGGGAGTGCGTTGCGGTGCGAAGCGCGAGAGGTCGAGCTTCGTGTGGACCGGAGCGGAGGAGCGCCGACCCCGCTGGAGAACACCGTGTGAGAATATCCATGGCTGACCAGGAAGCCTTTGCGCCAAGGACGATCGGCTAGCGCTAAAAAATGGAACCTTTACAATTCAAAGGCTAAGTTAAGGCTGAAGTGCGTTGACAAATTTATCAGCACGTTGATAGGCTCGGGCTTACAGCCTCTCCGGCGTATAGGCTCTTCCGCAAGGCAAGGGAAGGGAAGGGTCAGCGCAAGAGGAGTAGCCTAAGTCGAGCAGTTACAGCCGACAATACGTGTACTGCTGTTTTCGGTGGGAAATAGATTCTTGGAAGTTCCTAACTGGAGATTTACCACTGGATTGAGTGCCTGGTGGTGGGTGGTGGGTGGTGGTGGTGGTGGTGTGATAGGGGATGCCAGGAAAAGTGGCTGTTTCTGGATTGAACGGTTGAGGCGAGAGTCTGGCGACAGGTAACAGCTAAGCGAACTCAAGCGACAGTGTTGGCCCTGCGCGAATATTCGAGAAAAGGATGAAATCGAGGTGAAGTGGCTGCTCGTGCACCTGGAGGGCGAGTGAACCAGAATAAGGGGACCACAGATGTGCCACGTGTATTTTCACAATGGTCGTCCAGATTCGTTATGAAATCTCCATCTCCATGGATATTGGAAGCATGTGAAGTGTCACGTCAGATTTGGAGCCCAATTCCCGGCTTGGCTCGCAGTGCAGTTTCTGCGGAGAAACTAGTGGCTCAGAAAGGTGCGCCGTGCTGGGGGAAAGCCAACATACACGTAATCATGACTCGGTCAAGCAACCAGCCAACTCAACAACCAGGCCACCACCACCTCCTCCACCCCTTTCCTAGCTGAGCGCACCCATTTAAAACACATTAAGCCACACTAAACTTAGACTTTAGCGGTTGCTTTGTATACCCTCTATGACCGGCTTTGTAGTTCAACATAAGCATAACGAAATTAAAGAGTCAGTACACCTTCATAGGTAAAATGCATAATTGAAGCGAACAGCAAATTCCAAGGACACACCCAGCCAGCCCACACAGATACCCTGCAGCGAATTTTAGATTTCCGAAGGATGCCCGCTGCGCGCTTGTGGAACTCTAAGAATAGCGACGGTGAGTTTGTCGCCTGAAATTTTGAATGGCCTAGACGAGATAAACGGTCAGCACGTAATGGCTGGAAGTTCCATGGAGGACGCGAAGTACACCTCGATTCCCCTCTCGTGTAAGCTTACATGTCAATCCCGCAGCTGTTGGGTTTGTCGGCCCGGTGCGAAGACCTGATTTGGCAGTGCGGTGCTGGCGTTGCATCTCCCGGACGCATTGGCGCATTTCACGGCGCATTTTGCTGACTTGCGCGTCTCAGCTCAGCTGATCCTTGGATTTCTCACTGATTTTCTTTCCACCTCTTTTCCCGCATCCTCACATCACTCAAACTCAAGGGCGCGAAAGTTCCGGAGAGCTTCGCGTGCATGAATCCGCTGACGACATCTCGCGAGGTCTGGCTGATGTCATCGTGAGATCTTCTGAGGTGAGGCAGAGTGGAGGTGGTAACCAGCTCTCGTGCTTGTACTACAATTACGGTAATGTCTTCACGGGTTTCCCACTTTGCCTTCGCTGCCCGCTTCTTCCCACACACACCTTTCCCAGCCCCCCTCCACTTTTCATCCTTGATCACATCTCATTTTTCTCAGCCCCCTTCCAATCCGTGATCCACCCCCCAACTCTCTCCCCCATCCTTATCCCCCATCTATCCCCCCCGTCCATCCTCCCATCCATCACCGCGGCCCCCCACCCATCCATCCGCCTATCCAGGCAGCCATAGCCGCGCATGGCTCTTTCAGCATCGCCATTTCAGGGGGGTCCGTCGTTAAATGTCTGGGGTAAGGGATCCCACGTGGCACTACCAAGTTGCCAGCCTGTCATGCACAGCTGTCACGATCCTATTCACAGAGTTGCTGGTTTTCGCCTCTCCTCCTTTCACACTTCTCATCTCATACATACTAAATTCAATTTCAAGAGTTTTTTTAAAACGGTATCCTCCCTTACCCGCCTACCCCTTTCACTCCCCTGCTTCCTCTTCCCACGACCCCTCCGCCCCCCCCTCTCCTCCACACCAGCCACCTGGCGCATCCAGATGTAACGGCGCGCTGTGATTGGTCCAGGTGGCACGTGTTCTGGGTGGACGAGCGGGCCGTGCCTCTGACGCACCCCGACAGCAACTACCTGCTGGCGCACACGCACTGGCTCTCTAAGGTGCTCCTATTTCCCCTGAAAACACTCACAAACTCCGTATGCCTATCACACACTGCTTGTGTACCTCTGACGCACCCTGACAGCAACTACCTGCTGGCGCACACGCACTGGCTCTCTAAGGTGCTCCTCTGAGTCCCTTCCTCCCAGCAGTGTGTGAGCCTCTCACTCACCCCACCAATCCTCTGACTGACGCACCTCGACAGCAACTACCTGCTAGCGCACACGCACCGGCTCTCTAAGGTGCTCTCTTTCCCCCCAGCAGTGCGTGAGCTAGAACCTTCGTTAGCCTTTTAACTCATCCCAAACAGCTTGCATCTGACGCACCCCGACAGCAACTACCTGCTAGCGCACACGCACCGGCTCTCCAAGGTGCTTCCCTTCCCCCCAGCAGTTTGCTTAGTTGGCCTAGGTCCCAAGGTTCATTTTTTAATGCACCTTAAAACACGCACAAACTCAGTATATACGCCTTCATATGCCTTGTACACTTACTCCCTTGTTTTCTCCCCAGATGCCCATCCCATCCGCCCACGTGTGATGAGGTTGTTTTTGAGACGTCTCAAAAACAACCTCATCACACATGTGTTTTCTCCCCAGGTGCCCATCCCATCCCAACCTCATCACACATGTGTTTTCTCCCCAGATGCCCATCCCATCCCAACCTCATCACACATGTGTTTTCTCCCCAGATGCCCATCCCATCCCAACCTCATCACACATGTGTTTTCTCCCCAGGTGCCCATCCCATCCCAACCTCATCACACATGTGTTTTCTCCCCAGATGCCCATCCCATCCCAACCTCATCACACATGTGTTTTCTCCCCAGATGCCCATCCCATCCCAACCTCATCACACATGTGCTTTCTCCCCAGATGCCCATCCCATCCCAACCTCATCACACATGTGTTTTCTCCCCAGATGCCCATCCCATCCCAACCTCATCACACATGTGTTTTCTCCCCAGATGCCCATCCCATCCCAACCTCATCACACATGTGTTTTCTCCCCAGATGCCCATCCCATCCCAACCTCATCACACATGTGTTTTCTCCCCAGATGCCCATCCCATCCCAACCTCATCACACATGTGTTTTCTCCCCAGATGCCCATCCCATCCCAACCTCATCACACATGTGTTTTCTCCCCAGATGCCCATCCCATCCGCCCACATCCACACTCTCCATTACTCTTCCCCATTCGAAGCAGCAGCAGCAGCAGCAGCAGCGGAGGAGGCAGATGAGGCGAAGCTCTTACATTCCCCTCCATGCTTTTTACCCTTGCTCTCTCGTCTTCTCCCCACCTCCACATCCAATCTCTCAACGATTCTCTCTCCCACTCGAAGCATCGCCGGCTGCAGCAAGGGAGGCAGATGAGGCAGATTGGGGCGAGCCCTGACACTTTCCCCCTTGCCTTGTATGCCCACCACCACACTACCACCTCGTCTTCTCCTCAGGCGCCCATTCCACCAGCCAACATACACGCTCTCGACGACTCTCTCCCAGTGGAAGCAGCAGCAGAGGCGTATGAGCGCGAGATGAAGCAGTGTGTGGATGGGGGTGTCCTGCTGATGCACCCAGGTAGGTTGGCTCGTCCGGCTAACCGCTGCTAGGCTTGCTCGATGTCTGCTAGGCATGCTGTTTCTGTCATTCTCGGTTGAAGCAGCAGCAGAGGCGTATGAGCGCGAGATGAAGCAGTGTGTGGCGGCTGGGGTCCTGCTGATGCACGCAGGTAGGCTTGCTCCACCTGCCAGCCCTGCTACGCTTGCCAGACGTGTTGTTGCTGTCATTCCCAGTCGAAGAAGCAGCAGCAGATGCGTACGAGCGCGAGATGAAGCAGTGTGTGGAGCGGGGGGGTTCTGCTGATGCACCCAGGTAGGCCCGCTTGACCTGCTAGCCCTGCTACGCTTGCCAGACGTGTTGTTGCTGTCATTCCCAGTCGAAGAAGCAGCAGCAGAGGCGTACGAGCGCGAGATGAAGCAGTGTGTGGAGCGGGGGGTTCTGCTGATGCACCCAGGTAGGCCCGCTTGACCTGCTAGCCCTGCTAGGCTTGCCAGACGTGCTGTTGCTGTCATTCCTTCCCAGTCGAAGAAGCAGCAGCAGAGGCGTATGAGTGCGAGATGAAGCGGTGTGTGGATGGGGGTGTCCTGCTGATGCACCCAGGTAGGCTTGCTCCACCTGCCAGCCCTTCTAGGCTTGCTCTAGAGGTCTGCTAGGCGTGCTGTTTCTGTCATTCTCGGTCGAGGCAGCAGCAGAGGCATATGAGCGCATGGGGGTATCCTGCTGATGCACCCAGGTAGGCTTGCTCGACCCCTGGGCCTGCTATACCTGCTGTGCCTGCTATACCTACTGGGCCTGCTATACCTACTGTGCCTGCTATACCTACTGGGCCTGCTATACCTACTGGGCCTGCTATACCTACTGGGCCTGCTATACCTACTGGGCCTGCTATACCTGCTGTGCCTGCTATACCTACTGGGCCTGCTATACCTACTGGGCCTGCTATACCTACTGGGCCTGCTATACCTACTGTGCCTGCTATACCTACTGGGCCTGCTATACCTGCTGTGCCTGCTATACCTACTGGGCCTGCTATACCTGCTGTGCCTGCTATACCTCCAATTTCTGTCTCCAAGGGATGGGTGGCATCACACAGCCATACAATTGCCTCTTCCCCGTCGCCTCAACTACACCACCTTCCCTCTGCGCCCTTTGTCCTGTTGTGCAGATACGCCCTTCCCCAGATTCGACTTCATCCTTCTAGGGGTGGGCCCGGACGGCCACGTCGCCTCCCTCTTCCCCTCCCACCCCCTCCTCTCCTCCTCCTCCCGTAACTCCCCCCACTCCTCCCCCGCTACCCCCGCCTCCCCATCCGCCCCTTCCCCCCACTGGTGCCGCCATCTCTCCGACTCCCCCAAGCCCCCCCTTGCCGAATCACCCTGACCCTCCCCGTGCTGCTCTCAGCTGCGGTGGTTGCAGTCGTGGCAATGGGGGAGGGGAAAAGGGAGCTGCTGGGGAGGCTCTTTGACGCAGGGGGGACAAGGTTTGCTGCGGGAACTGGGTTGCCTGCCAGTATGGTTCTGCCAAGAGATGGGAGGCTGATCTGGATGGTTGATACGGAGGCTGCTGCTGGGTTCCTCCCTGGAGGTTGATGGGCGTCCAGTAGTGTTTGCAGCAGGGAGAATGGGGCTTGTCCACAGGAATGCTTGCTAGTGTGGTTTTGCCAAGTCACGGGAGCCTGATCTGGATGGATGGTTGATAGTGAGGCTGCTGCAGCGTTTATGTCACGTGATTGATTGGCATCCAGAGTCCGAAGCAAGGGGGACGGGGTTTGCTGTAGGAACTTGGTTGTTTGCCGGTATTGTAACTTCGATGGAACATGGAAATGGATTTTTTATGGTTGATATAGTGAAGCTGCAGTTGTTGAGGTAAGGGCTCCCCAGCCCGCAAGCCAGGTTGGCGTATCTAGAAAGGCCCCTGGTTGTTGTTACCCCTGTTCACCGCTTCTGGAAATGCTAGACCGTGGATATGACCATCTCAATGGCTTCGAGGCACTATCACCACCAATTCTAAGGTGCTTATCGGTGGAGCAGCCACATATGGTATCTTTGTGTTGGCGGCGCCTAAGAGCATCGTTGTTTCGGATTTATTCCAACAAACACACTGGATAAGCACGATGACACAGTTTGCTCCACAAACTGTACCATCTCCACACACTGTATCGTCACCACACACACACCGGCCCTTCACAGCTATACAGCATGCGCTATCTGTGTTGGGGTGGCACGTGTGTTCAGTTGCCAGTGACCCAGGGGTGACCTGCCAAGATAATCCACGAATCAAGGAAGTCACGAATCAAGTGGGACACAGGTGATTATTTGGTCAATAAGCCAGGCATCGGTCTCATAGCTGGGTGTCATGTGACTCTTGTTGCCTTTTGAGACGTCTCAAAAATGTTTTCAGTTGCCAGTGACCCAGGGGTGACCTGCCAAGATAATCCACGAATCAAGGAAGTGGGACACACACAGGTGATTATTTGGTCAATACGTCAGGCATCGATCTCAGTGCTGGGTGCCATGTGATGTGACTCTTGTTTTTGAGATGTTTTGAGACGTGATAAAAGAGATGTTTTGAGACGTCTCAAAACAATAAGCCAGGCATCCATCGCAGGGCTGGGTGGCATGTGATGTGACTCTTGTTGCCGGTGCCAGCAGCCTCTCGTCAGCAGCCGCCGCACCTTATCTGTCACATCCCCCTACCCAGACACCTTCAAAAGTACTCAAAAGTGACTCACATACATGCACACAGACCCCCATGTCTCAAAGTTCCACTCACATAGAACTTCCTCAAGGGTGATTCTATCCTGGGGGTCCCTTGTCAGCAGCCGCCGCACCAGGTCCTTAGCCCCGGGCGACACTCTTGGCCACGGCGGTAACCGCATGGCCCTGTCCACGTGGCACTCCATGATTCGCTCGAACGTCTCCTCCTTGGAGGCGCCTCGGAAGGGCACGACCCCCGCTAGGAGGAAGAAGAGCACGCAGCCGAGGGACCAGACGTCGACGGTGTGGGTGTACGAATGCTGCAGCATCTCCGGGGCTATGAAGGCTGCTGAACCCACTGTTTCTCTGCAAGGAACACCTGCAGCTTTGCAGGGGGAAAGGAGGGGTGGGGAGCATAAGAGAGAGTTGGCTGGGTTGTGTTAAAAGGGGAAGAAGAGCACGCAGCCGAGCGACCAGACGTCGACTGTGTGGGAGTAGGAGTGCTGCAGCAACTCTGGTGCTATGAAGGCTGCTGAACCCACCGTCTCCCTGCAGGACACACCGGGAGGATTGACGGGAAGGAGGAGGGTGAGGAGCAGGTGAGGAGAGATAAGGAGAGGAGATGTGAGAGCGTTTTACTCTCCATGCATTAGGGTTGAGGAATGTAACGTTCAATTGTTACGTCAGTCACTGTGTTGAGTCGACTCAAAACACGTTAGGGTGGAGGAATGTAACGTTCAACTGTTGTCAGTCAGTGTATCGTTGTCACAAGAAGCTGGAAGAAGAGTGAGATGCCCAAGTCAGCCAGCTTCACGTAGCTGTCATCTGCCAAAGTCAGCCAGCTTCACGTAGCTTTCATCCGCCAAAGTCAGCCAGCTTCACGTAGCTGTCATCCGCCAAAGTCAGCCAGCTTCACGTAGCTGTCATCCGCCAAAGTCAGCCAGCTTCACGTAGCTGTCATCCGCCAAAGTCAGCCAGCTTCACGTAGCTGTCATCCGCCAAAGTCAGCCAGCTTCACGTAGCTGTCATCCGCCAAAGTCAGCCAGCTTCACGTAGCTGTCATCCGCCAAAGTCAGCCAGCTTCACGTAGCTGTCATCCGCCAAAGTCAGCCAGCTTCACGAATGACAAGGAGGATGTTGTCCGGCTTCACATCCCGATGCATCACCCAATACCCGTGGCACCCCTGCATTGCAACACCTGCTTCTGGCACCTGTATCGCGTCTCACCTTGCTGGAAGAAGAGCGAGATGCCAAAGTCAGCCAGCTGTCATCCCCGCGCCGCACAAGGAGGATGTTGTCCGGCTTCACATCCCGGTGCATCACACCACACCCGTGGCACCCCTGCACTGCAACACCCGCCTGTGCGATTCCCGAGCAAGCAGTGCTCACCTTGCTGGAAGAAGACCGAGATGCTAGAGTCGGTGAGTTTCACATAAGTATCATCCCGGCGCCTCACAAGGAGGATGTTGTCCGTCCGGCTTCACATCGCGGTGCATCACCCCACACCCGAGGCACCGTGGGATTCCGGGTTCAGATTTTTGGGTTTTGCCACCACAATAACGCACCTTGCTGGAAGAAGAGCGAGATGCCAAAGTCAGCCAGCTTGACGTAGCTGTCGTCCCCCCGCCTGACAAGCAGGATGTTGTCTGGCTTCACATCCCTGTGCATCACACCACACCCGTGGCACCACTGGAGCGCCGCCGCCACTCCCTGACAAACTGCTGCCGCCCGCCGCTCGTTTAAGGGCCCCTCGTTCCGGACGGCTTGCTGCAGTGTGCCGCCCTCGCAGAGGTCGAGAATGAGGTAGATGGCCTGGGGGACAGGTCGAGAGATGGGGAGGGAGACAACGGGGAGAACATGAGAGAATGCCACAGAAGCCTTCATTCCCCGACGGCATGCTGCAGTGTGCCGCCCTCGCAGAGGTCGAGAATGAGGTAGATGGCCTGGGGGACAGGTCGAGAGATGGGGAGGGAGACAACGGGGAGAACATGAGAGAATGCCACAGAAGCCTTCATTCCCCGACGGCATGCCGCAGTGTGCCGCCCTCGCAGAGACCAAGGAAGAGGTAGATGGCCTGGGGCGATGGGTGTAGCGGAGAGTGGCAGAGGGTGAGGGAGTGGAGGGGAGCGGGATGTGATACCCACCCACCCACCTGCTCGTCCTCTATCGTCTCCACGAGTTGAACGATGTGCGCTTGGCCTCGCACCGTGTCCAGCGCCCCCACCTCGTTCATCACATAGTACCACCCACTCACCTCTTACCCCTTACCTTACCCACCTCGTCCTCTATTGGCTCCACCAGCTGCACGATATTACGATGCCCTCGCACTGTATCCAGCGCCGCCACCTCGTTCATCACGTCCTCGCTTTGATTGTGTGCCCTCTACTGTCTACAAGCATCAATGGCAAGGTGCAAGATTGCCCGCCCCCCACTCACCTGCTCGTCCTCCTCTACTATCACTCACCTGCTCGTCCTCCTCTACTATCACTCACCTGCTCGTCCTCTATTGTCTCTACAAGCTGAACAATATGAGGGTGCCCTCGCACCATGTCCAACGCCTCCACCTCGTTCATCACGTCCTCGCTTTGATTGTGTGCCCTCTACTGTCTACAAGCATCAATGGCAAGGTGCAAGATTGCCCGCCCCCCACTCACCTGCTCGTCCTCTATTGTCTCTACAAGCTGCACAATATGAGGGTGCCCTCGCACCATGTCCAACGCCGCCACCTCGTTCATCACATCCTCTGCATCGTCCTCACTCTGATGATGTGCCATGGGACCATCCATCCATACATCCATCCAAACACATGCCATGCCATGCACCATGTCATGCCATGCACCATGCCATGTGAACAATACACAAACGCACACACCATTCCAGGACATTCACATCACGCATGAGAAATTTCAATGAACAAGGGCTCAACTTAGACTGCGATGAAGAAGCGCGAAGGAACAAGCAAAAAAGAAGAAAAGAAAAAGATTGTGATAAGTTAACAACATGACAGCCTTATGTCGAAAATCTCCTCACCATGATGTTTGCTTTCTTGATCACTTTACATGCCATGTACTCTCCTGTGCGCCGCTCTCGACACACCACCACATCCCCAAAGTACCCCCTCCCAAGCACCTCCCCCACCATCTCGTATCTCTCCTCCACCCGCTCCAACGGCCGGCCAATCACGTTCCGCCAACTGTCCGCCGGCCTCCCATCACCACCACCACCGCTTCGCTCCTCCTCACCCATCCCAACCTCCAGATGCTGTCTCTGCCCTTCATGCATTCCTACGCCACGCCTCGAGTCCCATCCCATCTTCGAAGGGGCCTCAAAGGATGTCAGTTGCGCCCCAAAAGACTTGTGAGGTGTTTCATTGGAGGTTTGGCATTCCTGCTGCTCATGCCCCATGCTTTGCCCCATGCCATGGCTCATGTTGCTCCCCATCCGGCCATGATGCCCTGCTGCTGCCATCATACCTATCCCATAGGGAGTTTGGGATTCCTGCTCATGCCCCATGCCATGACTCATGTCGCTCCCCATCCGGCCATGATGACCTGTTGCTGCCGTCATACCTACCCCATGCTCCATGCCATAGCCCATGCCTTGCCCCATGCCATGGCTCATATCGCTCCCCATCCGGCCATGATTGCCTGTTGCTGCCATCATTTCGACCCCATGCTCCATGCCATAGCCTGTGCCTTGCCCCATCCCTTGTCCCATCCCTTGTCCCATCCCTTGCCCCATCCCTTGTCCCATCCCTTGTCCCATCCCTTGTCCCATGCCTTGCCCCATGCCTTGTCCCATGCCTTGTCCCATTCCTTGTCCCGTGCCTTGTCCCATGCCGTGATGACGTGGCGATGGTGCCGTGTAGTATGCTGGAGGTATGTGATTGGCCGGCGATGCGTGTTGTTGCATGGGGGCGTAATGGGGCGGGGAGACGTGATTGGGCGGCGGGTAGACGCAATTGGCTGGCGGTGACACATGGCGGGGCGGCGGGCAGATGTTACTGGGCGGCAAGACACGGTGCGGGGTGGAGATTTGATTCGGATAATGATGTGGCGGCGACACAAAGCTCAGATTGTGTGGCAGGGTATGCTCCGAAGCCGATGCTAGCTGGGCGGCATGTTTGCCATGATCCAACGACTGTGATCGCTTGTACTGCTCCATCTGACGGTCGAAAACCTCCCCTTCATCCCGTTCCTGCTGCAATGGCTGCTGCAGATGCAGTTTCTTCTTAATCTTCTTCACCTTGTCAACCTTCCCCTCCTTTTCCTTCCCTTCCTTCTCCTTCCCTTCCTTCTCTTTCCCTTCCTCCTCCTTCCCCTCCTTCTCCTTCCCCTGCTTTTTCACCTTTACTACTTTCTTCCCCTTACCCTCCTCTTCCTTCCCCTCCTCCTTCTCCTCCTTTCCTTTCTTCTTCACCTTCTTAACCTTCTCACCCTTGGCTATCCCCTTCTTGCCCTTCCCCTTCACCCCCTCCTCCTCACCACCCTGCACCATCCCACCACCCAACTCCCTGAAAGCACCACTCACCCCTCCTCCTGCTCCATCCCTCCCTCCCTCCTCCTGCCCACCCATCCAAGATCGCCTTTCCTCCTCCTCCTCCTCCCACGCCCTCGCGCCTATGTCCTCTCCTCCTTGCTCCATAAACCCCTGTGCGTGTGAATAAGCCTCTCTTCTCCTTCCCCCTTGCTCCTGCCCATCCACATCAAGGGGTATGGCATCTGCAGCAACAGCTATTGCAACATCATCATCATCAGAATCAGAATCATCCTCGTTATCATCATCATCACTATCAACAACACAATCTACCCCTTCCTCCTCCTCCTTTTCCCCCTCCCTTTCCTCCCTCTCTTCGTCTCTTCGCATTCTCCCCACATCTACACCACTGTACACCCCGTCTCCATTATAACCCCTACTCCTATTGTAATCCTCATTCTGATTGTAAGACTCCGTTCTATCAAAGCTCTTGCTGTCATTGAAACTTTCGCCCTCGTTATAAGCACGGTTGTTAGAGTCATTGTAGCAATCGCCCTCGTTATACCCCCCATTGACGGCTGCCCTAAACCCATTCTTCCTGTAACTACCATCTGGATAACCCCCCCCTTGCGCCGGGTGCTGCTGTCTTCGCTGCTGTTGCTGCTTCCCTTGCCCTAACCCTTGCTCTCGCTCTCTCTGTTGCCCCCACTCGTCCTCGTCTTGCCGACCCCACTTATCCTTCTCTTGCTGCTCCTCCCATAAATTCTTTTCCTCATCCTCCTTCTCCTCTTCCTCCTCCCATAATTTCCTTTCCTTCTCATCCTCTTCCTCCTCCAGCTCCACTTGCTGCTGCTTCTCCGTTGGCTGCTCCTGCCACCCATCCCTTTCCGCACCCCCCTTGTCCTCCTCCCCCTTGTCCTTCTCCTCCCATGGATCCCTTCCCTCATCCTCCTTCTCCTCTTCCTCTTCCCACAAATCTCTTTCCTTCTCCCCCTCCTCCACCTCCACCTCCTCCTCCTCGTCCCCCCTCCGATGTTGCTGCTTCCCTTGCCGCATCTGCTGCTTCTGCAATTGTTGGCCCTGCATCTGCCTTTCCTTAGTCGAATTTCTTGCAAGAGCAGGGGGTGTGGCTACTGGAAAAACATCCTCCTCCTCCTCCTCCCGCTCTTCCTCCTCCCTCTCATCCTTCCCTCTCTGTCCCTCCATCCCCTCCCTCCCTTCCCTAACTTCCCTCCCTTCCCTCCTATCCCTCTCGTCCCTCCCCTCCCTCCCATCCTCCTCCCCATACTCATCCCCATACTCATCCCAATCCCCTTCCGACCTCGAATCACGTTCTGCAGAGCTCCCATCGCGCCCTGCCATCCTGCTACGAAAATCCTCATTATAAGGCGACCTGAAAGGAGATTCCTCCCCGTAATCATCGTCATCATCAAAATCACCATAAAGGTCGTCGTTGCCAGCTGTCGCCGCGTGACTGGCCCCACCAAATCCTCTGCTTCCCTTGGCAAAAGCCGAAGCTGCTTCCCCTCTTTCGTCCCTCTCTCCATCACTCTCCCCCTCTCCGTCCCCCTCCTCCCCCCATTCCTTGTCCTCGTCCTCCTCCTCCTCCTCCTCCTCCCCCTCCCTCACCATCGTAGTCCCTCCCTCTCCTCCCCTTACTCTCCTCCTTTCTTCGATAACCCTCCTCCTCCTCCTCTCCTTCCTCCTCTCCTTCCTCCTCTCCTTCCTCCTCTCCTTCCTCTCCATCCTTTCTCCTCTCGTCCAACTCCTCCCCATAGTCTTCTCGGTCCTCCACCCCACCCTCATCTTCCTCCCCTCCGCGTGCCTGCACTCTCCCCCTCTCCTGCCCCTGCTCCCCCCCTTCATTCCGCCAACCCCCATCCCCACTCGCCTCCTCTCCTCCTCCTCCTCTCCCCCTCTCCCCCTCCTCTCCTCTCTCTTCCCTCTCCTCATCCACTTCATCCCTGCTACCTCGTCTCCACTCCTCGTTCCGCTGCTGCTGCTGCTGCTGCTGCTCCAGCTGCTGCTGTTGCTGCTGCGCCTGCTGTTTCTCCTGCTGCTTCTTTTTCCCAGGCGTCTTAGCCCCATCCCCGCTACTCGTTACAGTGCTATCTCGCCCGAACCCCAACCCCCTAGGCAGTAGCTTCAGCGCCTTGGCATATACACCCTCCCCCACATGCAACCCCCTCCGGTCCTCCGAGTGAGACCTTCGCAACCCTAGCCCCTCACTCTCCTCCTCGCGCCTCTTCCCCTTTCCCCCTCCCCCTCCCCCTCCCCCTCCCCCTCCCCCTCCCCCCCCCTCCCGCTCCCCCCTCCCCCGACGCTCCCCCTGCTCCGCCACCCCCCGGGCTCTGCCCCCCCACCCCGCCTCCCCCCGCGCCTCCCTTCCCCGCCTGCTGCTGCTTCCCCACAGCGCTCTTAGACCGCACCAGCCGCCGTTCTACAGACGTCTCTAGCAGCGCTTTTGCCTTGCGGTTCGTCTCGTCCGCGCCTCGCCCCCCTCCCCCCCCTTTCCCGGCTTTCCCGCTATTGCCGCTGTCTCCCCGGCTCTTTTCCTTAGCTTTCTTCCCCGGGGTGCCCTTTTTAGAGTCTAGAGGAGGAGGGGGTTTGCTGTTCCCCCAATCCTGCGAGTTAGAGTTCGGGTTTCTCCCATGTCCGGAACCCTTCTCACCCGCGTGTTCCGTCCAGCGTGGCGGCAATCCCTTGGTCGCTGCGCCGCTCCCTGTGCTCCAGGATCCTGGGAATGCTGACGTGGCAGGCTTAACTAATGAAGGGTCTAAACCACCGACGCTGTTAAATGGGACTGAGCCGGGGGGAGGGAGAAAGTACACGTCAGCACCGTCGCACTCGGATCGGCGAAACCAGGCGACGACTTTAACGGTCGACCTGGCGATCTCGTGCTCGATTTCTGCCAGCTCTGCCGCCGAGAATTGCGGGTAGTCGTCAGAACTAGATTGGTGGCTCCGCGATCGGTTCATTCTCATTGGTCCCTGGCCCTGACCTTGATTCTGTGCCCGGGATTGACACTGATTGGTTCTTCCGCGCATATCCAAGGAAGAGTTGCGCATATCGGCGGAAGACGTGCGCGTATCCGCGGAACAGTTCCGCGACTCCACGGCTGGCGGAGCCCCCTGGGAGCGGGTTCGGCGGAAGTCCCCCGAGTCGAGGCTAGAATACCGTGGTACTGGTACGACTCGCTTCGACATTATGACGATTGAATGTAACAGGTAACTCGCTGTAAAGCTTATTCTAAACTTCTCTGTGAGTGAGGCTGAAATAAGGCTGAGCTGTTACCTCTCGGTTCGACACCATCACAATCGGAATGCGAATTATTAGGAGATTACCGACTCTATCTCCTTTCAAAGGAATTTGACACAACATTGCATTGTCAGACAAATTCGATTAGTCTATGACAGGCCTCTTAGCAATGTAATGGCTAGACTTGAAGTCAGGTCACTGATAAATAGTCTGCGTAGAACGCGACGAGGTCTTGAGGCTGGTTCGAAGGACTAGCCTTCTAAAGAGAGTTAACACACGCGTTCCTTGATACGCGCGCTCTCAGCGAGACCCTTGACGACGTTAGTGACATGCGTTGAGGCTACACAGGAGGATGTTGGAAGCTAATCGTCTAAGAACTAATGCAAGCACAAGTACAAGAAGAACTTCAATAAACTGTACTTACATCCGTCCGTACGTTCTATACGTGGGATGTCATTCCTTCTGGTTCATGTGGAACAGCATCAGTCTTGCTCAGAAACCTACTCAACCGTTCTAAAATTCAATCAACCACGCAAGCATCCCACCTAATCCTTTTACCAGAGTGAAAACTTATATCGACAGCCTTATCCCTGCCACGACATTCACCCGTCAATGTACCCATTGGGAATGACGAGTACAGCCCCTCCTCCAGACCTGAAAAGAACCTGCATGCAACATATTCACAGAGGGGGTGCATTTGGTGTGGAGAAATGAACGGGTGGTGAGGCGTCGACATTTCTGTCTGCTGCTGCGAACTACCCATTTTCTAATCACAGAAGCTGTGGTCGCAGGGTCTCTAGAACTGGAACTGGAAGTGAAATGGTTTTCAAATTGCAATTCTTTGCATACGCTCTAAAAGATATGAGCGGTGAGTCATTATTCACCGGGTCGTTCTTTCTTAGTTCTAGATGGTTACCGTGCAATGTGATTTTCGAGGATGAGTTTGGCGATCTGCGAAACACGATTCTCGAAAGGTAACCGTCGCATGTGGAGGATCCTCCCAACAACAGTCAGGTTGTTGGGAGTTTGTCCGGTTACTGTACCCATTTGCATTGTGCTGCGCTGCGAGGCCAAGGCCCCGAGAATGACGTTGTAGGTGTGCTGGCAGTAAATGGCCCACAACACCCACCATTTTCCGCATGATACACTTTTTGCATCATTCTCACCTCAGGCCATACCGCAATAAATTTCCAGGGCGGCTGTCCCCGCCTCCCTTGAAAGCTTTCCGGTATGCAATAGAGAGTGCTACATAGTTAGAGCTGCGTTCAACAGTATAACGAACATGTGTGTACATGCAGCAAATTGAACACCCACTTCTACCTCAGAATGATATCTTTCTAACAAGTCACCATGTAGCTCACTGTCCCTCAGTCACCCAAATCATAACGTTAGACAAACACATAAACATCACTCACTCTGATAACGGAACATGTTTATTAGTCGCAATGCTCCACCCATCCATGCTGCAATACCCATAATCTTGACCAAAAAATGTTCCACGGCACATGCAGCAGGCAGCAATTACCCGTCGTCCAAATCAGCAAACTTGATGGAATGGCTGCCCTGGTCGATGGTGCTGCCCCTGTGATATTTTTGAGGCGCCTAAAATGTTCCGAGTGTCATGCAGCAATTACTTGTCGTCAGAGTCAGCGAATTTGATGGAGTGGTTTGGCTTCCCTGGTCGATGACCCCGACCTGTAGGACCTTTGAGCCGCCTCTAATGTTCCGAGGCACATGGCATGCAGCGATTACTCGAAAATCGAGATGACTTCTGATACGACTCAAAAGTTTACTCGTCGACGGAATCAGCAAACTTGATGGAGTGGCTGCCCTGGTCGATGACCCTGCCCCTGTAGCTGCCCCTCTTCTTCTTCGTCTTCTCGTGCCGGAACCCCCTGCGGTAACCGCATGTTACATGTGCCACACATGACAATGCAAAGAAAGAAGGTGCGTTATGATACAGATGCATGCATGCCGTGTGGACAAAACAAGACAAGTGACAACGTTACAGGACAACAGTGCATATACATTATGTTGTATTCACCTGCCATGTCACTGTTGTTCTACCTGCCCCTGCCATATCTCTTCTGTTCTCACCTGCCCCTCTGTCTCTGTTGTTCTCACCTGTCCCTGCCATGTCTCCGCTGTTCTCACCTGCCCCTGCCATGTCTCTGTTGTTCTCACCTGCCCCTGCCATGTCTCTGTTGTTCTACCTGCCCCTGCCATGTCTCTGTTGTTCTCACCTGGCCCTCCAACACCTCTGTTTCTCTCACCTGCCCCTGACTTGACCCAGAATCTCCTGAGCCTTGGCGCCCCAGCCAGTGCCCGCCCCACTCTGATTGGCACAGAGAATACATGGCATTGTGGGGGGTTGGGTGGGGGGGAAGTGGGGGGGAATGAGAGGGGTGTGCGGGAAGGACATGCATTTGAGTCGACTCAAAAGCACCCCAGGCAGTGCCTGCCCCACTCTGATTGGCACAGAGAATACATGGCATTGGGGGGGAGGAGGGGGAGAAGAGGAGAGAGGGTGGGGGGGGGGGGTGTGAATGGAATGGGAGTGTGGAAGGGCATATGGCATGTTTGAGATACATGACGCATGTGGGAGGGGCATATGAGAGGGACATATGGGAGAGGCATATGGGAGGGGCATATGGGAGGGGCATATGGGAGGGACATATGGGAAGGGCATATGGGAGGGGCATACGGGAAGGGCATATGGGAGGGGCATACGGGAGGGGCATATGGGAGGGACATATGGGAGGGGCATATGGGAGGGGCATGTGGGAGGGACATACGGGAGGGGCATATGGGAGGGGCATATGGGAGGGACATATGGGAGGGGCATATGGGAGGGACATATGGGAGGGGCATATGGGAGGGACATATGGGAGGGGCATCTGGGAGGGGCATGTGGGAGGGGCATGTGGGAGGGGCATATGGCATGGGAGGGGCATACGGGAGGGGCATATGGCATGGGAGGGGCATATGGGAGGGACATGTGGGAGGGGCATGTGGGAGGGGCATATGGCATGGGAGGGGCATACGGGAGGGGCATATGGCATGTTTGAGATACATGACGCATGTGGGAGGGGCATATGAGAGGG